TTTCCTTATATCTGAGACTGTTAAGCCTGGTCTTATGCTTTCTGTACCATGTATCACATCTTAAAACAACTGGCTCTAACTACAGTAGTCAGAATTTAAATGCATACATTGTGAATTAATGAAATATTAACTGTATTTTAGAATAATACTCCTATTTTGTATTTCTGTATTTGTATTTCTGTATTTTCTTATTTTGTATTTGTATTTTTATACTCTCAAACTGTATTTTAGAATAATACTCTTAACAAAGGTTATGTTGAATATAAAATGTAAAGCTTGGATGTTAGGCATCTAGAACAAATTAACTGTACAGACAACCAAGCACAGTAGCTTTAAAGCACAGTATTATGTGCTTTAATTATGGTAGGGCAACATAAGTAAGAATCTTCCTCATATTTTATCCCAAGAACAGCTCTGTAGACTGGGCTAAGACAAAGTGTCTGATCCCAAATTTCTTAGTGAGTTCCATTACTGGATCTCTTCTGTCCAGATCTAAAACCATAAGGAGATTTTTTTAATGGACATTAAAATGGACCCACTATTTAATTGTACCAGTATAACCTATTAGTCCATCACCTAAAATTAGATTAGCACAAATTAATTATATAGGCTGCTATATTTTTTGCACCTTCAAAAAAAAATCCTGTGATAAGCACAGGTAGCAGTAAATGAGATAAATAGCAATAAAACATAAACATGCTAATTGTTAACAAAAATTATTTTGTCATGGTCAGATCATCACATGGTACGTACCAGTATAACCTATTAGTCCCTCACCTAAAATTAGATTAGCACAAATTAATTATATAGGCTGCTATATTTTTTTCACCTTCAAAAAAAAATCCTGTGATAAGCACAGGTAGCAGTAAATGAGATAAATAGCAATAAAACATAAACATGCTAATTGTTAACAAAAATTATTTTGTCATGGTCAGATCATCACATGGTACAGTTGCAGTGGTTGCTTCCATATCTCCTGTGAGGCTGATTTTAAGGGACTTGCACATGGATCTGGATCTGGTGGTTTCATAACTCAGTACTGGGGAAATATACTGATGTGCCATACTTTTCAGGTGAGCCTCTGGAGGTGAGCTGAACGCCCCACTGTCCCAGGCTTTGAGTCAGTTGGCTCCTTAGTCATCTGCCTGTTCACTGAGTCCACAGGTTGCTTGAGTTTACCCAGGCACTGCAGGCAATGAAGCAAGTAGGCAGATATTTGGAGTGTCAGTCATGGAAATCAATAAGTGAGCATGAGCCAGCACCCAGCTTAGAGTATAATGCAGAACCCATGCTGTAGAAAAATAGACTTTTCTCTGCTTATACTCTGTTGAAAATCACTTGAGGGAGCTGTTCCAAATGCTTTAACCCAACCCAAGGGCTATGGAAGTCTTAAACTGTCTTTGGTAGTGACATTTAAATTCTAAAGAATTTTTTGCAGATCAAATTGCACATATCCATGGTGGGATAGATGCTATCTTTGGTGACAGTTGAAGGGACAAAAACTTACTTGTTCTGTACTATCTGATGAGTTTTCATGTTTACCTTGAGTATGCAGATAGGGTACTTGGACAGGTTTATGCCACAACTTGTATTTTAGATCTGTCTCTTTCTTGAAATATATTGGGAGAGAGGGATTCATAGAGGGAGGTGTTATGCTTGATTATTATCAATTCTCTCAATTGTAGAGAAGTGCCACATCCTTTAAAGAAAGTGATATTACTCCCCTCTTGTGGAGGAAAAAAAAATCCACATCGCTTCCTTTTTACCAACTTCAAGCAGTATCAGATCTGCCATTTGTTGCTGAGGCAGAGTGTGGTGGAGCAATAATTCCAAGCACTCCTGGATATTGGAGACATGTTTGAGCCCTGTTATGTGGTAGGAATTTGAGCCGGTTGATCCTGAGGAACTGGACAGGGTCCTTGTGGCTGCAAGCTTATGTGAGCCTCCTGTGTTCTGGATCCATGCCCCTTCGGGTTCATTAAGGTGTCCCAGGAGGTGACATGTGATTGGGGTCTGAGGTGGTTAATCCCACTTTGCAGGAGGGGGTAGTACCACCTGCCTTCTCAAGAGGCCATCCTTGGACTCAACCACGTTAGACAACTCTAGTCTCCAGCCTTCCCTTTCTGGTGAGGGTGGTTGGTGCTTAGCTTCAAAGGACCCTGGATTAAGCAGATTATCTGGACCCTTTTCAATCTAGGTTCAGATCAGGGTGAAATACTGAGACAGCATTGGTCGCACTTAGGACAGGGATGGTGCAACTGCCCTAGCTCTCCTGGATCTCTCAGTGGCTTTCAATACCATCGACCATAGTATCCTTCTGAACTGGCTTTGGGGGTTGGGAGTGGGAGGCACTGTTTTGCAATGGTTCTCCTGCTTTCTCTGTAGCCAGTTCCAGTCACTGGGTGGGGGGAGAGGTCACTGGGGCTCCTGCAGTGTGGGTGCCCCAGGGCTTGGGTCTCTCATCTTTCCTCCTTACATCTACATGAAACAGCTGGGTGAGGTCATTCAACAGTATGGAGTGTGGTATCATCAACACACTGATGATACCCAGTTATACATCTCCATCCCAGGCTGGGCAGGTGATGCTGTTGTGGTGCTGACTGGGTGCCTGGAGCTGTGAAGGTCTGGATGGGGGGAACCTACTTTGACTCAACCCTGGCAAGATGGAGTGGCTTTGGATTTTTGGCCAAAGTCTGGTGATACGTCATCTTTTGACTCTGGATGGGGTGGTGCTCTTCTGGAGTGAGGTGGTGTGCAATTTGGGGTCCTCCAAGACTCATGGCTTCTGGAGAACAGGTGGCAGCCATGGCTAGGGGGGCCCTTTGCACATATTTGTCTTGTATGCCAATTGTACCTTTTCCTGGACCAGGCGGCCTTTCTCACAGTCATTCCTGCCTTGGTAACTTCCTGTTTGGACTACTGCAGTGTGCTCTACGTGGGCTGTCCTTGAAGCTACAGCTGGTCCAGAATGCAGCAGCGGGCAGTGTTGGACACCCCTAGGTTTGCCCATGATACACTTCTGTTGCACTAGTTGCATTGGCTCTTAGCTTCCTTCCAGGTGAAATTCAAGGTGCTGGTTATTACTTTTAAAGCTTTACATGGCATGGCACTAGGTTATCTGAAGGACCACCTCTCCCTAAGGGTATCTGTCCATTCCAGTTCAGATAGGGTATCTACTGAAATATTCCCATTAGATGGGACCTAGGAGGTGTGCCTTTTCTGTGGCGGCCCCTACCTTGTGGAACACTCTCCCCCTGGCTATCCGGCAAGCCCTTCTCCAGCTCTCTGGAAGGTCTTACAGACCTGGCTCTTCACCCAGACACTGGGTTAAAGTGATGGGGGTCTGTGGATGGTTGTGGGGCATCCTAGGAGAATGACATTTTCCACTAAGGCACCAGGTTTTCAGTTTCTGTTTAATGGATTTAATAGCTTATTGTGAACCACCCAGAGTTGTCCTCTAAAATGGGTGGCCATACAAATCTAATAAAAAATAAAGTGAAATAAATTAAAGTCATGGAGCAACAACTCAAGTACCCCTGGATGACTTTCTGGATAGTTCCAGACTGAGTCATTACATGGAGATGGTACTGGTCACCCTGGTAGACCATCTAAATGTGTCAGATAATTTGTCCCTGCTTGTGCTCCTTGCTGTCTCTGCTGCTCTTGATATGATTGACCATGGTATCTTCCTAGACCTCAATTTTAGCCTATTGTAGTGTGCTCTATATGGGGATGTCCTTGAAAGAATGCTGGAAGATTGCAGTAAGTCCAGAATGCAGTTGCTAGACTTCTGTCATATATCTCCAAACAGAAGCCTGTAACATTTGTCTTGGCTGTACTAACCCAAATAGATTTCTGAGTTAAGGTGTAAATGCATATAACCTGGTTTGTGCCCTCCACTTACAGAAATGGCTGTTCTCATATATTGTATCTCAGGAACTACAATCAGCAGCCAGAGATATACTGCGTGTGCCATGGAGGGACTACTAAGGGTGTTGTCTGCAGTGGCTCCAAAGCTTTCAGTAGTTCTATCAGCTTTTTCTTTTGCTAGTTTAGACGTAACCTGAAAATGTATTTGTTTGCTTTAGCCCTTCCCATGGTAGCGTTGCAATATTTAGTCTGTCATTTTTTTTTTATGCTGATGTCTTATAATATGTAGGTGGCATATAAGTATGATAAATAAATGTTATTTATATTGCAAGGAGTTTTGAAAAATTTCTATAGGATATAAAGAAATAATAGTCACCAAATAATGCAAAACTTTACAAAAATCTAAGCAACTGAGTGTGATTTGACTGATTCAAACTGTACTTGCAGAAATGCAGATAATTTTTAAAATGTAGACCAGTGACTGCTGTGATATATGTTACTTAAACTCCAATTTCTGTTTCAAAAATACCAAAAAAATATGCAAAGTAATCTGGATCACAAAGCATTGTTAAAAAAAATAAATAATTATGACTCTAAAATAAGTAGTAATAAACTTTCACTATCTTGCTTTAAAAACTGTGTTTTTTCCTGAATAATGGGCTAATTCTTAGGGAAAGGTATCAAAATTTTCATTTTGCATGCAAGAAAATTAATAATTCATTACTTGCCAATATTGTTGAATACTGATAATTTGCATACTAATAATCGAATAACAGTATTTATTGCTATTTGATCTATTGGATAATTTTTGAATTATTGTAATGCATGTATTGTATATTTTGTTGTAAGCTACTTAGAGTCACATGATGGAAGCAGCGTATAACATAATAAAATAATCATTAACTTCTCATTATGAGATACTTATGGATTATTCAATACGGAGACCCTAGACACCCACATGCAGAAATTAAATCAACCAGTATACCATGATAGCAAAGATAATATGGCTAATCAGTTGATACTTGCCAAGGTAATCTATATGTATAAGGAAGTTAGTAATGTTTAAAATTGTGCCTGAATCTATCATAAAGAAAATACTCTGTATAATTATTCTTGTTCTGTTTCCACAGGTTGCATTTGACAGCACGTGATGGTCCAGAAACTTAAGCTGCTCATCAGTCGCTCAGTAGTCAGTGTAGATTCTGTTTCTTCGGTCAGCAGCTACATCTGGCTACTGGGTCTCTGAAGACGTCTTGTAGCAGCTGGTCACTGTACTTCACCCCTGACTGGTTGGATAACTTGAATTACTTTTTAGACTATCCTATAAGATAAAATTATTCAATAATATTCAGAATTTATCCACAAGTATTAAAAAGTGATTCCAGATACACACACACACACACACACACACACTTCTGATTGAATTAAACAGGATTTTCTTTTAGTAATGTCAACTATAACAACAGGTTGCAATAAATAGTTGCTAGTATTTTTAAAAATACT